TATATATATATATATATATATATATATATATGAAACAACCATGGGGAAGTTGAAAGATAGCTCTAGGCCTTTCGTGTTGCAATAAACACATCGGGAGTTTATATTGTTGTAGAAATGAGTAGGAAGTTCAGGTAGATATGTTCAAGAAGATTGACTAGGAAAACCTGGAGCCACATGGGGGACCAGAAAAGTGGAGGGTTAAGATGATGGCGGTGGTATTGCAAAACCTCATACTTCAACATGTTAGGGATACTACCAAAGAGGAGAGGAGAGGATGAACCAGCAAGGCTGGACCTCATATTCACCCTGAGTAGTTCACTCATTGAGGACATCACACATGAAAGGCCCCTCCGAGCTAGTGATCATGTAGTCCATAGCTTTGAATACATAGTAGAGGGTCAAGTGGAGAGGAAAGCAGCACAAGTAGGGCGGGAGAAGCCAAACTACAAAAGAGGGGACTACACAGGCATGAGAAATTTCCTGCACGAGATTCAGAGGGAAAGAGAACTGATGGGAATATCAGTAAATGAAATGACGGAATACTTGACCACAAAATGCAAGGAGGCAGAGGAGAGGTTCATTCCCAAGGACAACAGAAATAACGAGAAGACCATAACGAGCCCTAGTTTCACCCAAAGGTGTAGAGAGGCCAAAACTAAGTGCACTACAGAATGGAAGAAGTATAGAAGGCAAAGAATCCAGAAAAATAAGGAGATTAGTCAAAGAGCTAGATATGAATATGCACAGATATAGAGGGAAGCCCAATGGAAATAAGAGAATGACATAGTATCAACAGCCAAATCTAACCCAAAGCTGTTCTACAGCCACAGCATGAGGAAAACAACAGTCAAGGACCAGGTAATCAGGCTGAGGAAGGAAGGAGGGAATATCACAAGAAATGACCAAGAAGTACATGAAGAGCTCAACATGAAATTTAAGGAAATATTTGCAGGGAGACAGGAAGGACTCCAGAAAGCCTGGATGGTAGGGTACACCAACAAGTGCTGGACACAGTGCACACAACCGAAGAGGAAGTGAAGAGGCTGCTAGGTGAACTAGGTATCTCAAGAGGCAATGAGACTGGACATCTCTCCATGGGTCCTGAGAGATAGAGCAGAGGCACTGTGTGTGCCACTAACAATGCTTTAATACAGGTCAACTACCTGAAGTGTGGAAGACAGCAAATATAGTCTCAGTTATTGAGGAGACAGACAGCATTAAACTACAGACCGGTGTCACTGCCATTTCTAGTGAGCAAAGTCATGAAGAAGCTTATCAGGAGAAGAGGGTGGAACAGCTAGAAAGGAATGAACTTATACATGATAACCAGCACGGTTCATGGAAGGAAATTCTGCAACACAAACCTACTGGAGTTTTACGACAAGGTGACGGAAGTAAGATGAGAGAAGGGTGGGTAGATTGTATTTTCTTGGACTGCAAGAAGGCTTTCGACACAGTTCCATGCAAGTGATTAGTGCAAAAGCTAGAGGAACAGGCAGGAATAACAGGAAAGGCACTGTAGTGGATCAGAGAATACCTGACAGGAAGGAAACAATGAGTGATGGTATGTGACAAGGTGTCAGAGTGGGCGCCTGTGATGAGTGGGGTCCCACAGGGGTCAGTCCTAGGGCTGGAGACCTGGAGTATACCTGGACAGGGTTTTGGGGGGGTCAACGCCCCTGCAGCTCGGTCTGAGACCAGGCCTTGTGAATCAGGGTCTGATCAACCAGGCTGTTACTGCTGGCCACAGACAAACTGACATATGAACCACAGCCTGGCTGGTCAGGTACTGACTTTAGGTTCCTGTCCAGTGCCTTCTTAAAGACAGCCAGAGGTCTATTGGTAATCCCCCTTATGTATGCTGGTAGGCAGTTAAACATTCTTGGGCCCAAGACACTTATTGTATTGTCTCACTGTGTACTTGTGGCACCCCTGCTGGTGCTGTTTCTGGTATGTGTGAATGACATGATAGAAGGGATAGATTCAGGTGTGTCCCTGTATGTGTATGTGAACTTAATGCAAAGAATTAAGTCAGATGAGGATCACGTAGGACTACAAAGGGATCTGGACAGGCTACAAGCCTGGTCCAGCAACTGTCTCCTGGAGTTAAACCCCCACCAAGTGCAAAGTCGAAGGTCGAAGAAGACTGCAGACAATGTACAGGCTAGGGGGTTAAAGGCTACAAATCACGCTCAAGGAAAAGGATCTTGGGGCCAGTATCATACCTAGCACATCTCCTGAGGCATACATCAACGAAATAACTGCTGCAGCACAAGGGAAATGTCCTATGAAGAAAGGCTAAGGGAAATCTACCTGATGACACTGGAGGATAAGGGAGACATGATAACGATATAAAAAATACTGCGAGAAATTGACAAGATGGAGAAAGACAGGATGTTCCAGAGATGGGACACCTTAACAAGGGGTCATAATTGGAAGTTGAAGACTCAGAGGCATCAGAGGAATGTTAGGAAGTATTTATTCAGCCATAGAGTTGTCAGGAAGTGGAATAGTCTGGAAAGTGATGTAGTGGAGGAAGGATCCATACATAGTTTTAAGATGAGATATGGTAGAGAGAAAGGACCTAGTAGCAACCAGTGAAGAGATGGGGCCAGGAGCTGACTCAATCCCTGCAACCACAATTAGGTGAGCACACGCACGCATGCACATGCATGCACGCACACGTATAACAGGAAGGGCACTGCATTGGATCAGAGAATACCCAACAGGGAGGCAACAATGAGTTATCATACATGATGAGGTATCACAGGGGGCACTTGTGATGAGCAGGGTCCCACAGGGGTCAGTCCTAGGACCAGTTCTATTTTCGGTATATGTGAATGACATGATGGAAGTGATGGACTCAGAAGTGTCCCTGTTTGCAGACAATGTGAAGTTAATGAGGAGAATTAAATCAGATGAGGATCAGGCAGGACTAGAGAGAGACCTGGACAGGCTGGACGCGTGGTTCAGCAACTGGCTTCTCGAATTTAACCCCGCCAAACGCAAAGTCATGGGGAAGGGCAAAGAAGACTGCAGACAGAGTGCAGGCTAGCTGGCCAAAGACTGCAAACCTCACTCAAGGAAAAAGATCTTGGGGTGAGTATAATACCGAGCACATCACTGGAAGCACACATCAACCAGATAACTGCTGCAGCATATGGATGCCTAGCAAACCTGAGAATAGCATTCCAATACTTCAGTAAGGAATCATTCAAGACTCTGTACACCATGTACATCAAGCCCTTACTGGAGTATGCAGCACCAATTTGGAACTCACACCTGGTCAAGCACGTCAAGAAATTAGAGAAAGTGCAAAGGTTTGCAACAAGGCTAGTTCCAGAGCTAAGGGGAATGTCCTACGAAGGAAGGTTAAGGGAAATCGGCCTGACGACACTGGAGGACAGGAGGGTTAGTGGTGACATGATAATGACACAAAATACTGTGAGGAATAGATAAGGTGGACAGAGACAGGATGTTCCAAAGATGGGACACAGAAACAAGGGGTGACAGTTGGAAGTTGAAGACTCAGATGAGTCAAAGAGATGTTAGGAAGTATTTCTTGAATCATAGAGTTGTCAGGAAATAGAATAGTCTGGCAAGTGATGTAGTGGAGGCAGGAACCATACATAGTTTTAAGACGAGGTATGATAAACTTCATGGTGCAAGGAGAGAGAGGACCTAGTAGCAATCAGTGAAGAGTTGGGGCCAGGAGCTATGTCTCGACCCCTGCAACCATAAATAGGTGAGTACACCATGGGCCAGGCCTGTCTGGTGCTAGCCTGGTCAACTAGGCTAGCACCATGTGATTACAGTGGTTAAGTCTCAGTTCCTGGCTCTGCTGCTTGACTGCTCGTTACTAGGTTCACTCCTAGCTATGTTTGTGTGTGTGTGTATGAGGGGGGTGAAGTGTGTATGAGGGAGTGAAGTGTGCCTGAGGGGGGGGTGAAATGTGAATGATGGGGTGTAGCATGCATCATGGGGGTGTATTGTGCATGACAGGGGATATATTGTGCATTGCTGGTGTATTGCTGGTGACTTTAATATAAACCTCATTCAAGCAACTGATCCCAAAGAAGTGGATTTCACAAACACCATGAGCAGTTGCTTGCTACTGCCATCTATAATGAAACCAACAAGAATCTCTGAAACAAGTGCCTCACTACTTGATCATATCTGGGCTAATACTACATCCCCACTAGAAGCAGGCATAATCACAGACAACACTATGTACCACTATCCAACTTTTCTCATAACCAACTTAGATAGACTGCTTCATGACACAACCAAGATCTTTTTTGACTACATGATGAGTCATCAGCAAATAATTAATACTGCTTTACATAATATTGACTGGCTGAGCGAATAGCGGACAGCCACAATATTGATGAATGTTTCAAAATATTCCTACACAAAACCCATGACCTCTATAATAGACATTATCTAATGAAAACAAGCAATCTCAACAAAGAGACTAAACAGCCTCTGCCTATGTGCTGAATAAATATCAGCTTCCAACACTTATATCTGTTAACCTGTCTTTTCTCTGTTATTTAAATATTCATAATTATTCTAGTAAGTGATTTGGATTTTTTATAATTTTTTTGTCGTATCATGAATAAATAATTGTTATTATGTAAGCCAGTGAGCAGAGTACTAAGAAAGAAAAATATTTACAACTTTTCCACAATTTGGAGATTAAATTTTAGAGTAATTTGGACTCCAGAACCAATATATTGTCACAGTAATAGTACAAAATGGAACAAACATTATCTAAAGTTTCCCTTCCAAGCTGTCAGTTCATTGTGAATTATTTTGGCCACTTATTTTTTTAGGGGAAAATAAAATTTGGTTGATTTTCAATTTGGAGAATGAAGTCAATTAAATTAAAATTTTTAAAGATGTTGAAGAAAGAGGTAAAAATAATTCTTGCACATATTATTTATGTTAAAAAACTGTATTATTAGCTTCTATTTACTATGTATGTTATTGTGTTGCAGCAAATCCCTGGAGTTTCTCCGACTGGACGATATACAACACTGGTGCCACTAATATGCATCCTGGTGGTCCTCTGCCATCAAAGAAAATTGCTGAGGACATAGTAAGCACTTGTGTTCTTGTTATGATATTATCTCCTGTACTACTAAGTGCCTCAGGCCTCATAAAGGCTTACCAGTATGCTAGCATGGTTTTAAGCTTTTGAAAGCATTCTTTATAAGTAAAGTATACAGCCATAGTAACATTATGAATAGTCCGGATAATTACATCTCAAGAACCCTGGGTTGATCCGGGCCAAGTCAAACTGACACTGGCCTTCGGTACTATGGCCTTAAGAGAAGACTTTATTTGGATTATTCCCAAAAGGTTTTGTAAGCCAGGATAACCCACTGAAGTCAATTATTGTTGCTTACAATGTATTGCTACCAGTACCAGTACTGGTGATACTAGTGTTGGCAACCCTCATGGTTCTAGGGTTTATGTAGGTGTTTCACTAGTGCAGCTGGTGGTAGTATCAGTGCTGGTGATGATTCTGTCAGTTTTGGTTCTGGCTTTGGTACAAATTAAGCAAGTACACTGGTTAGGAACTCAGAACCCAAAAACCATAAAAAAATAAAAGATTATGCTGCAGTTTAGTAAATGAAGGACAGTGCTGTGATTCATACTGTACAGCCTTCCACAGGGAAGGTAAGAGGTGTACACCAATCTGAACATTCAAACTATTATTTTGCAGCCAACAGTGATTTTTTAGTGTCAGATAGCAGAAAAGAATGGTGAGAAATATTAATAATGTATGGTATCACCACTTAGGAGCCATTCTGGACTTGAATCATAGCCAGTGACTGGCTCATCAGAGCCACTGATACCAAGTCCAATGAACTAGCCTCTCACCACAGCAGTTAGCAATGTATCATCTTTTGTGTTTGCAAATGTATAAGGCAGTCACATGCAATGGTTGGAGCTTTTACAAGACTACAGTAGTTTGCATACTAATTGGGACAGTGATGAGATGAAACATTTATTTGGAAAATTAATGTTCATTTGAAAAATACATGGCAATGATACGATGGATAATCAATTTAATAAGAGATATGATTACCCTTTGCTTTTATAAGCATTGCTGCATGCTTTGGCATAGAATCAACCAATATTGAACACACTTTGGCAAGATCTTGGCTGTGGAACTAGGTCCTAATAACAGCAGCAGTTAACTTCTCCACAGTTGAATCATCCTGTGTTTGGTTATTGCCTTTAGATTCTCAATTGAGTTGAGGTCAGGAGAGTTTCCAGGCCAATTTAGAACGATTAGCCTACTCTCTCTCTGAAGAATGTCACCATTTTTCTGGAAGTGTGGTATGGAGCATGATAATGCTGAAAATTGCCGTCTCCATCATGAAAGTCTCTGTCCACAGTGGGAAGCAAATGAGTTACCAGGATTGCCTTGTATTTGTCACTTCATCATTCCCTCAACAATAACAAGCCTCCAGGGCCTTTAGCAGTAAAAGTGCCCCAAAACATCTTAGGTGGGTATTTTGGTGCTTGTTGAATTTGTCCATTCTGAAGAGGTTCGCCTTTGCTCTGTCTCACTACCGCTGATCTGTACCTGTGTACTTCAGACTGCACCTCATCTGAAAATATAACTTTTCTCTATTCATCTGTCATCTATACCTCATGATCGAGTGCCCACCAAAACCATATTTTCTTCATAGCAGTCAATAATTGCTTTTTTTATCAGATTTTTGGGTCTTCTGCCAATTTTGAGGAGCCTTTGTCAAACAGTTGAAGAATCAATATTTATGCCAGCTGAAGCCAGATCTCTCTGTACATCTTTGCAGGTTTTCCTGGGATTCTTGACACACTTTCTTATGATAACCTTGTCATTGTGTGGTGTTGTCTTCCATTTTCTTCCACATCTACCTCGATACAGTGCTCCACAATCACCAGTGTCATCATCTCTCTTCAGAATCCAACCAACAATTGACTTTGATAGGCTCAAATTTTCGACGATCTGTCTGATACTCAAATCAGCATGTTTTCTAAGAGCTACAATACACCCATCATGAATTGAAAGGGAGAATTTGGTAAAACCACATTCACTCATGGAGCACGCTTGCTGGAATAGCCTCACAGAACAGCAGCTCATGTAGCACTGCCGAGGGTCGCAGCATAACACCACAGCTGGATGGTTGCCAGAAGCCGGTAGCAAACTCTTCGAAAGAAAAGACCCCAGACTACATTAAATTAAGCCAAGATTAAGACTTTGTTACAAAAATAATCACAGAGTTTACTCTGTCCTTATTAATTTGCACACTACTGTACATGCAATTTAATAACTTAAATTTGGATTCTGGGTTGACCTGGATGTTAACCCTTTGACTGTTTCGGGGCCCCTCTCTGAAACTGTCATTCTATGTCGTAAATATTCGAAAAAAAAAAATTTTTTTCTTATGAAAATTTTAGGAATATTTTTCGGGAGTGTTTTAAAGCCTAAAAAAATTTTTTTGCCATCAGTACTTACCGAGATTGGAGCCGCAAAGTTTGCAGAAAGTGACGTGCGTACGGCAACAGCGGCAACTGCCGCCCACCCAGTATTCTTTTATTTACTCTAATTCAAAGGTTTCTTGCATTTTTCAATATTTTTTCTGTTCCAGGTAACTATGTGGCCTGTGGGGACCAATGTAAGGTGCATTGTTAAATATACACTCATTGTTTACAACACAATAACGAACAAACTTTATCACTATTAGTTTGTGTATACACTTTGTTTACAAAAAACAAACAATAAAAAAACAATGTTTATTACTATTGTTCCATAATATATATACTATGTACGTCACTGAACACGTTCCTAGAACTGCTGCAGCTTGTGGAACTCTTTGAAACATGGGTATATGCAGAGGGGCACTTGACACTCTTCACACATAAACGAGTGTCTCTGCGTGTTTGTGGGCGTTTTGTGGTATTGCAACATAATAACACCTCTTCTGGCATTTTTCTTGGCAGAGTAGTAGGAGGCAGTTGTTATGGGGTAGTGATCACCAGGCCTAAAAACGAGATGGTGTGTGTTTGGTAATTTCATGGGCGCTGGTCTATTGCAGGTGTTGCTCCTTGGTACTTTGCGATTATTGTCTGTTACTGACAAGCAAAATTCACCATATTTTGGGTGTTTTGTTGGTCTTCAACTTGTATTGTTATAAGCATTTAGCATAGAGATATCAACAAGTGGAAAAAAAAAGTTTTACATACCATTATAACTCTTGCGTACAGTCTGCAACCCAATCTGCATGTCACATTTGTCCCTAAGGCATATTGAGGTTGTAGTCCATGACAGCTGCGGTTTTTAGAATGGGTTCTTTGGTCTCTCTGTTGTGCCTGCCACTATGTACCATTTCGTTTCGGTGAACTGATGTCAACAATGGGACATTCACGTTTGTCATGCCACCGAAATGCCATGATGTCATTGGCAGCAAAGGCTTGCACCTCGCCTCTGCAAGTGCCAGCGTCGAACCTTGGCATATGTTTACGATTATGACACACTGTGCCACACACGTCTGTCAAGTTCACTCGCAAGAAATCATGAGTAAGGGGCTTGTGTACTAGTTATCAGTAAATAACATATGCCCTTACCAAGATATGGTTCCATCAATTGTTCGAACCACATCACAGAGATACCCATAACTTCTTTGGGATCTCTCAAAGTATTACTGCCAGTGTTACACAATGATATCCAAACTAGACCACTTCTGCAATCACACAGTACAAATACCTTTATACCAAAGCGTTTCCTCTTGCTTGGTATATATTGCTTGAATTTAGAGTCTTCCTTTGAATAAAATCAAAAGGGTCATCAATAACAAGCTTCCTGAAGGGATAAAAATACATGCAGCACTTTTTTTTCAGGTACATAAAACACATTTCTTATCTTATATAACCTGTCGCTTCTGTCAGGCCTGGTTTTGTCTGAAAAGTGTAACATACGTAACAGTATCAGGAAACGATTGACATTACAATGTCGCTAAAAAACCCGGAGTTGAAATCAGGGGTTCTGTTGCCCAGTATGTGGTGACAGTGTGCTTATACACATGTGGCATAAGCATTATTGTGGCAAAAAAACAGGTACATCTCTGCCACAGTTGTGTCCTTTCATTGTGTAGCCGTGGGTATTGGTGAGAGAATTGTATTTGCCATGGTGTAATCACAGTATGTGTTGGTTTCCCCGACAATGATGTCCTCAGGGGTTCATCGAAGAATAACTCAAAGCAGTCCAGTTCACTGGCATTGTTCCGAAGTGGACATGATGGCTTTTTCCACTTTGGTGTTTCATCAAAGTCAAAGGGGACTGGGAACAAACTCGTCACCCTCCTGCCAATCCCAGATGCGGGCTGCTGGTGGGGTCTGGATATTGTTTCCGTGGTTGTGGTTGTGCAGGTTGTGGGAGTGTGGGGTCGGTGAGGTGGTTGTTGTGCAGAGTCAGCAGCGTGGGTAGTAGCGTGGCCCGCTGATGGTGCCACAAAGGGCCATGCCACCCTCACTATCAACCCCCCACTGCCTGCTCCCTACTCACATCATTCATTACCCATCGTTACAATGTCCACCTTCACTATCAGGTCGTGGTACAGGGCCATGGGATTTTGCTCCAGAGTTTCTCTTCCCCTTGGAACAACATATGAAAAAACTACCAGACCTCATGCTACGTCGTACATTTCTGCCGCTTCACTGGGGAATATTCACCCTCACTGTCACTAGAAACTGCTTTCAATGACCTTGAAATCACTATCACTATCACATTTACTGCTAACGTCTGGGTGTTGTAACACGACCCAAATAGTTTCCTCTTTCGTCCTGGTACAGGCGAACGTGAACGGAGAACAAGCCGGCCCCGCACTAGAGGTGGAAAGGGTTTTGGGGTCATCTGGGTTTTCATCACTAATTATGTTATCCGGGCACTTTTTCCGGTAACACTCGCTTCAAAACCCGGAATTCACTGTCACTGACATTTTCATCGCTGTTAAAGGGTATCACTTGGGGAAAAAAAGACCTCCAAATCCGCGGGAGTGAGGAACTTCTTACCGAGAGGCATGGTGAAAATGGACTAACAAGATG